TAAATTTATTATCTATAGTAGATAATATTAAATTTTTAGATCTCGCTCGTAATTTTGACTGCCTCGGAACTAAACCTTACACGACCTGCGAGAAGAATATCTTTTTCGTTAATTCTTAACAATAAAAACGAAATTCATAAAATTTAATTCATAAATCCATTTTTTTTTTATCCTCTCTGCCAAAATCTCTTAAAATTTTAGCAAAAACTTACCGAGATTCAAAAATTCTTAAAAAACGACGCAGTGTCTCGCGTTCAAATTTATTTAAAAAAAAAAAAGAGAGAGAGAAAAATACGACTGTTCGAATGAAATGGAATTCCTTGGAAACGAAGCTCGAGCATTGAAAAAATTTAAAGATTTCAAGATTCCAAGTACGTGCATAGGTGCGAGAAATGGGTTGAAGTTTCAAAGGTAGGATAGAAACTTTTTCGAGGCGAAGGGAGAGACTGCTGAAAGAATTCGAAGGAGCAAAGTCTTCCTCCGCCAACTTTCCTCTTTTAATATCGTTTTAATACATTTTAATTTTAATACGATCCGCGTTTATCAACGCGAAGACGTGCCAAAACGTCATCGAGATTGAACGCATAAATTCCAAATTCATGAAAAAAAGGAAAAGAAGAATTCTTCCCCTTCAAATACCATTTACTGCGTTTTATTAAACGTTAAGTAAGCACCACTCGACTTTTTAAAATTTTAGTAGACACGCTTGGCCAGTATAAATTGTTATTAATTCCAGAAATTTAATTTAAACGTTATTAATTGCGAGAACTTGATTTAAATGTTATTAATTACGATTAACACACAAAATCAAGTAACAATTCACAAAACAAAACTGGATACAGTTTTTACAGCTTCTGAGTATAATTTATTTCAATTCGAATTGAACCAGTTGGTGTAAAAAATAGCGAATCTCGAATCTCGAGAGCACAGGTTTACCAATGTCGGTGCTTGCGAGACACTAAGGACTAACAGAATGAAAAATCACACGACGCCACTCGGGTGTAAATCTGCCACTGGCGCGTACGACATGATGAATAACTCGGAAATGTCATAACCGTGTGTCATACGTGAGTCTCGATTGATTTCGACCTTTCGGCTAAAATCTAACCATCAGAATGTGTTCAACACAACGACTCGAAAGTATGTACACTTTTGTCTCATTGTGAATAATTAAAGTGATAAGTTTCTTTTTTAATTTAACATTAAGTTTACGACATTTCACTGGTTTCTGACTTTACGAGCAAAATTGAAACAGCTTTTACAATCCTCCCCTGGCAACTTTTGTTTGACTTTTATCAATGGAATGCACATCTATACAGAAAACACATGAAATGATAGGATTTATAACAGATATCATACATATACTATAGAATATTATGGAATACACATATCTTCTCAAACCCCTGATTTTCAAGTTTCGACCAATTTCATAAGCAACCCGAAAAAAATTCATTTTCATTCGTGAAATCGTTACGTTCAATAATAAATGTACCAGAGATGTATATAAATCTAGTGTTGAGGCAGATATATATACAGGGTGTTTCACATAAATTGTGAGACCCAGCTCGGGAGCTGATTATACGCCTAAAAATAATACAAATATACGTCCTATCTGTCCTCGTTTACGAGATATAATGAATTTTCTGTTTTAATTACTTTTACAAAAGATGCTCGAAATGACCAGCTTGCATTTGAAGACAAGCCTGCACGCGT